ATTAACGCTATGTGGTTTTATGGTACAATTTTCCAAGTACATCCCGCCAGGGGCGCAGATAGGTTTTTGAAACTGTGGGGGACAGTTACTATAGGGCTTGGTCGTCGTGACGTAAGCACTTCGCGTCGCCGCCATGTTGAATGCGTCTTTTACCGCGGCTCAGACTACTGCCTATGACTACCACGTACTGTACTCCCTCTCAGCCGTGTTTTAATTTGATTAACTTCACCTTAACTTGATTTCAACCATGGTAAACCGTTGCTGTATTGTGGGCTGTAACAGCTCAACACATGATCGCCATGGAAACATAGAAAATGGGTTAACTTTCCACCGCTTTCCTGACTGGAGGCGTAACCATGGAGACCAAGCGCTAGCTTGGATCGCAGCTGTAAGACGACCGAACATAACTTTCCACAATATTCCAATGTCATTGAGACTGTGTTCCCTGCATTTTCATTCTGGTAAGTTAAAGATGCACGGTTTTATTTTATAGCCTACTTTGTTTCTTTCCTTCAAAGTTGGGATCTTTTACGGGAAAATAATAAAAACGGCAGCGGGAAAAGGCTCAAATACGTGAGAAACCCGGAGGGTTGGCAGTTAACGTTACTAACTACACCTTTGAAACACATAGCAGCTAGTTAAAAGTACATTACATGCGTGAGTGGTTGTTAGCACTAGCGGTTAGCAGTTGCTAAACTAGCAGGTTCCAGAGCTCGTCTGATCACAGCTTACCTTCGTACGAATTACTCTGTTCCCACTGTTTGCTGGCTTTATGATCTGCAGCTCCTGAACCCATCCATTCATGAACCGCATATGAGACTCCAAGGACTTGTAGCTTCGGAACTGTTTTGAAGTATAGGCGCTCACTCATCGGTGCTCCACTCATTGTTTGGAACTTTATATGGATCCAAATGATTAATAATGCTGATTTTGTCAACATACCGGTCCCTGGCTTCTCTATTTAATGTGTCCCGGTAAATTCCAGATCCTTTTCGGGATTTTAACATCTTTTTTCTCTCTACTTCTGTCTCTTCTTTCAACAACAACGTTGTGTCAGAGGTATGCTTACGTTTGCGTAGCAGTCAGTATGGCTGCGACGTCCCACAATGCAACGTGGATCCCGAGCCCTATTACTGGCTATTACTCAGCTATGACAACCCATCAATCTTAATTGCCCATCATTGCAAGAAAATAACATGTATTGGTACCAAGTACTCACCAAACATGCCACATGACGTGTGAAAAAAAAAAGGTTTTATTTAAACATGGACTGACTTTAAGTGCAGGCTGTAAACACACAGAAACACGAACAGCAAAGCCTACATATATACAAAAACAAATTTGTAAATAAGTACTTTACATGGCTTTTCAATAAATGGCCTCAAATGAAGAAAGTTGTGTGTCTACTTTGTCAAGGACTCTGTAGAACTCCACTCTGTGGTACTCCACAGCAGATTCTGGCCTGTGTGCAGGTGCTGGCCCAGAATATCTCTTTGGGGGCCTATGTGCTCGAGATAGCAATGGGCTCTAGAGACAGCTTCTCAGCCATATCCACTGCTTCCTTAAAGACTGCCTCAAAGTGGGCTGGCTTGCTTTTGTCCCATAATCTCTCTTGGACAACTGAGACTGCAGAGACCATGCCCTCCACCGTCTGGGTGCTTTTTTGGAGCGATGTATTCAGCACTTCCAGTTTGCTCATTACATCTAAGGCCAGTGAGCCCCAGTAGCCCCAATTTCAGTAAAATCTCAGGCTTTTAAATGTTGTAAAATCACCCATAAGTTTTAGGTGTTTTAGTCCTTTATAATTAAATTTATACATTCAAAAAACATAAGGAAGTTATTATCAACGTCTCACTCTGCTTTACAGCTTTGTATTAACATTGCTTTAATGTGTGTTATTGTGTACAGCTGGGGATGTTAAGGGCCATGTTAATTATAGATTAAATAATTTACTGTTCTGTAGTTTAAGCAATTGTCATATTTGTAACATCACTAGTCTTTCCTGTGACATGCACCTTTTATTTATTTATATATACACACACACACACACACACACACACACACACACACACACATACATACATACATATATATATATATATATATATATATATATATATATATATATATATATATATATATATATATATATATATATATATATATATATATATATATATATATATATATATATATATATATATATATATATGAGAGAGAGATTCTTTCCTCCGAGTTACAGTGACATAGACAAACTTGAAGATACATGACATCCTCAAATTTCTATTCTATTAAAATTTCTGTATCTGTATAATGGGTCTGTTCTATATGTTGTCTTCTCAATTCAGAAGGCCCCATGCCTGTCTTTGCCTAGGGCCCCAAATTTCCTAAATCCGCCCCTGTGTAGTGGAATTTGTCTAGTTTTGAAGTTCGTTTTTCTCATGATTCAACCTGTAACAACCTAAACCATTTGGCTTGGCATAAATACGGATTCAAGTAGCCTACTGTAGCCTACACATTTCTGAAAGACCCCCAACAACTCCAGAAAAAGTCGGAACAGTCGATTTAATTATAAATAAATAAATGCCAGTCGATTCCCCCTGCCTCCCGCCTTATGACATTGGCACCTCTCTTCACGCTATTCTCACTGACCGTTTCTACTCTTTTTTCCACGGCAACATCGAACAGACAACCAAAAAAATGCAAGGCGATATGATACCGCAATGAACAGTTTACTTACAGTTGGTGCTTTTCGAAAAAAGGATGCAATTGTTTTCTGTTTTTTCGGTTTGGCTGGCCTCATGTTGATGTCCGGACTCCGGAATTGGGAACTGTCCCGCCACTACTGTCTGTCTGAGTAACCATGGAAACCAGCTCGAGACGTAAACGCCAGAGACAGGATAACTTTTAGATTAGAATCTCTACGACGCAGGCAGCCTGCAGTTAGACAAAACGATTGCCCGTCTATGATCTGACTGTTTGATGTTGTTGTTGCAAAGCAGTAAATTAGTAAAAGCTTTTTGATTTTCTGTGAGTTTCGCCGTATGTTTATTTATTTATTTATTTTTTTCTTTTTTAATAAAAGTGGGGGGGACGGATTGAGGGTCATTCGAATCTGTGTACGTCAGAACACCCCTGACGTACACGCTATCTGCGCCCTTGCATCCCGCTGCAGCCTGCGAGAAGGCAGGGCTATTTTCCCCCAGTCTATGCATTTCTCATAGGCTTCGAGAGCGGAGCTCCTCAAGGGAAAAAGACGCTCATACACTGGGTGACGCTAGTGCCTTTTCTTTAAGCCCCACCACCAACAAACAAGTTGAGTGTCTGGTAACTAGTAGCAACCTGAAATACGCTGAGAAAACAGATTACTGAGGTGAAATGGAATCTGCTACGGCACTCTTGCTGTCTGTGTACGCCACAGGTCGGTATCGTGTGTGTGTGTGTGTGTGTGTGGGTGGGTGTGTTCTCATTTTTGTTAAGAGGCTCAAAAGTAACTTTCTAGAGCATAGACTACCTCCATCTAGTGATGTCGGTCTATTGATTTTGATGTATTGATTGAAAATTGTTCATTATTATCTTGGTTAATTGACATCTAATGTTAACTGTACTACATTTTATAGCAGTAGGGTAAAATGCTTGTCTTTGTTCAAAAGACTGTATTAACTGTAAAGACTGTCTTTTACATCAGCCTGTTTTAAGGGCCTTTTTTTGGCTACATATTTGTTATTTTTTGCTACATGCCTCCCCATCTTCTTGCCATATGTTTCTATGGCATAAATCAGTGTCTGTGACCTGTTTTCATAAAAAAAAAAGAACATTGGCACAAACCTAGCCTGTATGTATTTTTTTGTATGTCATTGAGAGTATTTAAATGATTTTCAATCAGAAAAAAAATGTGCGATTAAAATGCGATTAATCGCGAGTTAACTTAGGCATTGATGCAATTAATCGCGATTAAAAACATTTAATCGATTGACAGCACTAATATATATATATATATACAGATCATCCCAGAAAGAGACAACCAGTTACTAGCTGCAAAAAAAAGATATTTACCTCCTGATAACATTGAAACATATTTAAGTAGAAATACACAATAGATGCCAACTTCTTCCACTGTTTTGAATATTTACTTTGAAAAGTCGTTGAATAGCAGCATCATTATTCGACATTGGCAAAAAGAGCAGTTTAAATTAATAATTATTGGTCTGCAAATTTAAAATCCAAAGAGCCATTCTGCCCCGTGTCCTGCTGAATAAAAGTCATTTGGAGACCCAAATATTATGTAACCTCTTAATTAAAGACCATTTATCATTTTTGCTGAATATCTATTATAGGAAATCTGTAAAATGTTTAAACAACTGACTCTTTTATTAGTATTATTAGCTTTTAAATAAGGAAGATCATTAAGTCTCATAAAGATGAATCATGGATTTTCTTATGTAAGGTATTGTTTGATGTAAAAAAAAAAGTTAATGAAAAAAGTTAATGAAAAAAAAAAAAAACGACACTTTCTAAGAGTGTTTTTGTTATTATACTACATGACTTGCCTTTTTATAGCCAAGCCGCAGGTTGCGGAGCCCTAAGCTAATAGGATAGCAGTGACCATGATAACTGGTAATAAATCTGTGTAACTATATTTCTTCAGAGCTTGTCAGATCAGCCTGGAAGATCCTGCACAGGTTTGACAAGTCAGGAGAAAAACAGCTTCCTTTGGAGGAGACTTCCATGGGATAAAACAGCTACTAGACACTAAAAGTAAAAAAGTATGACTCTTGAAGTGAATAATGTATCTGAAAATCCTCCTTGAAGTAAAATGTTTTATATTTTATTGAACCTATTGCAGGTTTCACTAAGCACTTATATCTGTAAACAAACATGGATCCTCTAAAAGCTCGTCCTGTATGAAACAAAACATTTATTAAAACTTTAGGTTTAAATTCAGACACTTTTCAAAGCTCAGAAAATTGTGTAATTATTATTCTATTCTGTGTTTTTAGACTGAACCCAAAAAGTCGGGGCAGCATACCAACAATGTAAGAAACTTCTCTGACTTGTTTTCCTCATGTGAAGTTGACAGTTTGCAACCAGGAAGTAGTTTTTTATCCATCTGTTGAATATGTTTGTGGATTCTGCTTGTCAGTGCGGCGTCTCCCAGCCCCACCTCGCCACGCTCTCCCTCCTGGCCAATGTTCTCAGCGCCTTCGAGTCCACAGCCCGTCTCCTCTGCGTCCAGTGACTCCTCTCCTGTCAGGTCAGAGCATGTTGGGGTGCGGCCGGTGCACAGGGCTAGAGAGCCTGACCCATGTACAGAGGCCTCAGTCCTCGACGTCACGGGTTTGACTTGACCTTTGCTGCCTCTTCTCTCTCTCTCGCTCTTTCTCCGTCTCTCTCCCTCCCTCTCTCTCTGCCCCCCCCACTCCATTTCCTGTCAGCTGCCAAATACAAAGCAAACAAAAAACAGCTACTATGTTGCTCATTGCAACAAAGTATTGAGAAAGAAGCTTTTTTTGCTTCTGTTATCTTTTATTTGCTTCTCTCTATCCAAAATAAGGAAAAAATAACAGCTTCAAGTTTAGATCCATATATAAATAACACTATTGAAATCATGTCAATTTGGTTTATAGCAACTTTTAACTAAGTTGAATGTCATTTATAGAGGTTTTAGACTTTACTGAGATCTACAGATAGATAATGTCTGTTTCTTGTTCTTGTTTTAGACAATATTGTAAACAGAAACGGTCACCATTAACCTCTGGCTGCCAAAGATAATATTAAAAATCTTAGCTTCTACATATTTGTAAAACTAACCACAGCATCACAGATTCAATTCAATTCAATACAATTCAATTTAGTTTATTTATATAGCGCCAATTCACAACACATGTCATTTTACAACCAGATCATACAGTCAAATTGAGTCAAAGTTTTCTATCTAAGGAAAACAAGTTAATTGCATTGACTCATTGACTCAAATACAATCCCTCACACTAAGCATGCTTGTAGCGACAGTGGAGAGGAAAAACTCCCTTTTAACAGGAAGAAACCTCCAGCAGAACCAGGCTCAGTGTGAGCGGCCATCTGCTGAGGCCAACTGGGGTTCAAGGAGATAGAAGCAGAGATAGAAAAAGCAGCTGTAGAAGGCGGCCCCGTCCAGGAAACACACAGCCAGGCAGACGAGCTCTGAGCCAGCTCCCATGACAGAGGACGAAGAAAGCACATCCAGTTAGTCACAGTCAGGGAAACAGGACTACACTGGAAAACAGGCCAATCTCCAGCATCTATAAACAAGGGTGTTGATGGCAGCAGCACAGCTAATATTTCTCTCCAGGATGGAGTCACAGCAAAACAGGAACAGAGGAGGCAAAGCTACTCTGAGGAAAAGCAGAGAGAGCAGAACATTAGAGATTGAACTAAGAGATTCTGCAGAATAGGAGAATAGAGAGAGAATGAAGCAGAATGATGAAATAGTGGTCCCTATGTCCTCCAGCAGTCTAAGCCTATAGCAGCATAACTATAGAGATAGCTCAGGATAACCTGAGCCGCTCTAACTACAAGCTTTATCAAAAAGGAAAGTTTTAAGCCTAGCCTTAAAAGTAGACAGGGTGTCTGCCTCACGGACTAAAACTGGTAGTTGGTTCCACAGGAGAGGAGCCTGATAACTAAAAGATCTGCCTCCCATTCTATTTTTAGAAATTCTAGGATCCACTAGTAAACCTGCAGATTGAGAGCAAAGTGCTCTGTTAGGAACATAAGGAACAATCAGATATCTGATGGAGCTTGGCCAGATAAGATGTTGTGCTTTAAAGTATCTTTATTTACTGCAGGATAATAACTCTGTTTTTCTTAACCTGGTCTAAACGCCAAAAACTTGCCTTGGAATCTTGCCTTACATATTGTCCACTTCACTCTTAGCATCGCTGTTTTAAAGTCATTTTGAGCTTAAATGTTTACCTAAATGGATTTTTTTAGTTATTTGTAGAAAATATATAAGATCTTTGAACAGCAGTTGGTAAATATGCTAGAATTTTGTAATCTGTAAACATGCAGCAACAAGAGAGGAATTTTTTGGCCTCTAGGATAAACCTTTTATCTTCACCTGTGGGGGCAATTTCATTCTAGTGGTAATAAAAGCGATTTTCAGCTACTTATTTGGGAAATGCTTCTGTGACCTTAAACATGACATGACCCCTGGCCTTCCATATGAAAGGAGATCACTCAAAATCTGACTCAGAAGTTGGCCATTACATCTTGGATCAAGGAGGCGCTCCGACCTATTTTTGTGCACAGGTCAAGCAGCAGTCTTTCTTATATAAGCCTCTCTATTTAAATAGTAGTAAAAAAAAACCTGGGTGCAGCCTTGGCCCATGTCAGGTTGTGTTTGGATGCTTCACATTTGAAGACCGGAGTGTCTGGTGCTACCAGAGGAGCTGCTAACACCTGGTTCTCTTTGTGAACCCACGGTAACCTTACCCTCAGAATGCTGTTTATGGGACACCCCCTCCCACTTGCTGGCCTGGTTCACTGTAGATGTGTGAAAAAAACTGAATATATATCCTTGGTATCTAGTCAGTGTTTTTTTTTTTTTTTTGTGCATATTGAACCTGATTCTGTAGAAAAACCAACATATTTTATGATGATGTGCACCCTGACAGATGTTTCTGGCTCTTTTGGAGAGAAACTGGCCCAACATCATAGAGTCTCCAATGCTAGGTCAGCATTACATGGTTTTCCCACATTCATCCTTTCTTTCACGACTGGATCTTCTCCAGTTGCCTTTTAAACCAAAAGTTTATTTTATTGAAAATGATCTTGCTAAGTATCTAGGGTAGTAGGGCAGACATAAATGCATCCTAAATTAGTTTTTATGGGAGCCTGGTGTCCTCAAGCTGGAAGTCTTTGCTGCAGCTCCCCTCTTTCCACCTTTGGAGTTTTGTACTTCTTCCTTCATAATGCTGCTGACTTAATGGTAAAAAAAAAAAAACATGATTCCTCCTCCGACCTTTTGTTACAGTTACAGTTAAAGGATTGCTCTGACTATAGGTATGAGGAAATTCAAGCAGGTATCTTTTGTATTTTTCTTTTTCTAGCAGCCAAAATGCATAAAGGTATCAGCACATCTTAAAAGTTATGTTTTCTTGTCCTTCCTGTTTTGTAGAGTGGCAAACAGTAAAGGAATCTGTCCTGTTTAGGGCTCGGCGATGGGGGCTTTAAATCGTGATATTTTGTGGTGCTATTATGATGAAGATAAAAGTGAAGAAGAAAAAGTGATCATTACTTCTTTAGAGTCTTTCTCAGGTAGCTGTATGGCTGTGATTGGATGCTAAAGCAATCATAGCTCCAAAAATGCTGCTGCTGAAAACTAATTAATTAAAAACAGGAAACTTCGGGACAGAAGTTACATAAAGAGATGAGATTTTTATCACTAAACATCTTACAGTGACCAAATTGAATCATATTCTTCAAATGTATCAATCCCTTAATGAAAAACAAAAATAAAGGACAAAATAAAACTAAATATATTGTTATAACATTCATCCGTTTTTTTGGAAGTTTTTAAACATAATTAATTCCAATTTATTATTTAGACAATAATTCAAAATTCTTATTGTGACAATAAATGTATTCCGATATTGATAAGCCATACCATAAATGCCAAACCCAGTCCTGTTTTATTTATACCTCAGGAGAGCAATACAACTCTTCAAAATTAAATGAAACAAATGAAAATGAATCTTTAGGAAGTATTATTTAAAATGAATTTGAAATAGCAACAAAAGCAGCACCACTAAGTATGAAAAAAAGCATAATTTTTTAAAATTGTATCTAATTCTAAACTGAATATTAGATCTCCTCTCAGCAATAATAGATGCATTTATTTTAAATATTTTTAGAAATCTTTGTCGGTGGTTTCAAACAGTTAATAGGATGATATATAGCAGATTTTAATAAACAAAAATAGCAGTTAAATTGAATAAAATGCATGGCTAATCTTATTAGCTGAGGTTAGTTTGCAAAAGCGAAGAAGAAAAACATGACGGCAATCTTTTGATGATGTTTCTCTTTTCTCTTCCAGCATCACAGGCAGGAAGGCTCGAGCGCTCTACGCTTGCAAGGCAGAGCACGACTCGGAGCTGTCCTTCATCGCCGGGACCGTCTTTGAGAACGGTGAGTCAGACGTCGGCGCTGGCAGCAGTGGAGGAGGAAGACAGGATGTGTGTTGGCGTTACACAAGTTCATTTGTTGTGAAAACAGAGAAAGCCGTGGGGACTTGCATTTCCTCCGATTTCCTTGTTACCCTATTTGATGCTTGTGTTTACTCTACAAGACGCTTTTAGAAGGGATGATTGCTGTTTTTATTAAAAGGAGAAAGCAACAAAAAGGAGGGTTTTTCAGTAGCTTTATGTTTTTTCTACGTCGCCAGAAGAAGGCCGCTTTTTTAGCCTTGATCTCCCACATTCGCTTCCTTTACATGAAGGCCATAATAGCAGAGAGTCAATGGTGAAAAGCTATTAAAGCTGCCTGCACACAGACTGGTTCGCTGACACTCAACCCGGCAGATCACATATTTAGCTGTAATTGTGTATTGGTTAAAAAAATCGACTCCTTAGCTGCAAACACACGTGGTAGAGATTCAGCTTTCCTTTCCCTCCAAACCGACTGGTATGCCTTGTAAAAAAAATATCGGCATCTTACAGACTATTGATAGTTATGTAATGCAGAGCCGTGTCATGTGAGTCCCCTTGGGTCAAACTGTGTCCCCAGGGGACATGTAATCCCCAAAGTGGTATCTGAACACTGCAGGCTTTTCATCGGCAGCCAAGGATGAAACATTTAATCTGTCAGACTACACCCTCACAGGTTTTTTTTTTTTTTTCTTCAAGCAGTCGTAATAATTTATTTTTAGTTTATTTCAAACATGATTAGAAAATACAAACATATATTAGCATGTATATATCAATATAGATTTCACATTGTTCACAGCATAACGACTTAATGTTAATTTCCAAATGAAGTAATAAGAGGTCTAACCTTAAAGGTATAGTAAAGGATGTTCTTTTTCCGGGTGGATCATCAAAATAACAGATCCTCCTAATTGTCAATCATACTGGTGATACGTTTACGTAATCTTCTTTTGCAAAGCAAGCTTGCAGGAGTGATGCAAACAGCAACTTTTAAACAGAGTGTGCAGGAGGAGAAATGGGTTCATGCACGCGTTTAATAGGCGGTCCCTCTTGGGAGCGGGCACAGGGTTGTGCATGTGCATTTAGCTTTTTTAAGTGGAGAATCTGTCATGAACCGAGGACAGATGGACCCAGTATTCAAGGAGATACAGTCAGTAGGAAAGTTCAAAAAGTTTGTTAAATAAAACAAAATTTAAAGTGGAGCTGTGGCTCGCGGACACTGCAGGATGGGGAGCGGGGCACCGCCCAATCACAGACACAGGAGAAACACAGGTAAGTGACCACCATCATCTGACAGAAGATGATTATCTGAGTTGATCACTTACCTGGTTCAAAAGTCCAGTCCAAGAATGTCCGCAAGTGCTGCAGTCCCAGAGGACATGGAAGCCAATCCTGGTCAGGGATCCAGAACAGACAGGAACAGGATCCAGAACAGACAGGAACAGGATCCAGATCAGGCAGGAACAGAAACAGGATGGTAGGATCCAGACTTCCAGGCTTCCACAGGCTCCCATGAGGGTTCAGAGTCTGACTGGGACCAGAAGCATGACCAGGTGGTCACGCACAGGAGCAGACAGGATCAGGTGCAGACAGGCAGGCTCAGTGGAAGAGGGTAGCCGAGACAGGACGTGGAACCGGAACTTGAAGCAGGACTTTAAACTGGTCTCCCCCCTGGAGCCAGGCTTACTGATATAAAAGCTGATCCTTCCCACGTATAGAGCCAAAAAACCCAGAGGACTCCACGGAGGAGGAACAGTGGACGATCAGGAGACGAGACAAACACAAAAACCTCCTTCCACTGGCTGCCAGGATCCACGAACTAAGGAACCAAGGAATAAAACTAACAGACAGGCTAACAGAAAGACAAATAATGATCTGCCCCTGAATGCTCAGGCTGAACTGAATATAAACCAGAGGAAACAGGTGAGAGGAATAAATTATAATTGAGGCAGGGAGGGAAAACGACAGGTGAAAGGAATTACTAATTAAGGAGGAGCAAACAGGCCAGATCATGACAGAATCTTTTCAAAAAAGTTTTAAAAAAGTAGTGTTTACCAGCAGTGTGGCTTTTCTCTCAGTCATCTGTGGCTCATTATGACATTATTGGTCTGTTAAAGTTCTCATTTTAACTCCAGTTAGTGGAGCGTCTTATTGAGCAAAATCTTTCATTTTAAAAGTATAAACCTCCACCTCTGTTTGACACAAACGCCTTAAGTTCATTCATCGCTAAACTAACTTCAGCTGAACCACTAACCCTGGTTTCCAGGGGAGGAATTTAACTCTGTTTACTCTCCTTTACTGTAATTACTGTACTGCCCCAAAGTATCACTTTGACTTGTGTGTATCCACACGAATGTAAATATTCATAAAATACTACAAACTATAAGCAGTGGAATCAAAAAGCAAAGATCCAGAAATACTCTGACTCTATACAGTACATGTTATGATCTCCCCAGTGTCTCAGCTGGAACCAACCAGCTAATTGGCAGCTAAATTAACGATTTGGTCCCGTTTTACTAAGCATTTACTCCTCCATCGACAAACGATCACCATGATAATCAATCACAACAGAACAAGATAATGTAACAGCTTTCTCAACCTGATCATGTCTTTACCCTACATTTAAACCCAGTTCAAAAAACTGGGAGCTTTACCAAAGAACAGCATTCTTCCAGGGTCCTTTGCAGGCTTAGTCCAGCTGTTACACCATTTCCTGCAACCCAGAGTGGTGGTAAAGCAAATAAGGTTGATTTTTTTTTTCTAAAAGTTTGTTTAGTTGAGCTGTCATTTATCTTCATCTAACCCTAAAAGGTCATGTGAGAAAGGTTTTTAGAAAAGGCTAGATAAAGTGAGAGGGATGTTACTTTGTCCAGTTCCAGCTGCCGTTCTTGATTTAGCTATTTTCTGCTTGAAGAAGTGATAAAAAGAGGAAAACATGGAGTTTTAGATAAGATAGCTTTCAGTTGTTGCAACACCCATGCATAGAGATTAAGTTGACAGCCACCCATTCTGCAATCAGATAACTAAACTGTAATTAACACATGAAGTAAACAAACAAGCTGGACACCCTTTGTTACATATTTCTTAATGTGAATATTTCATTTCATTTCATTGGGCAATCTTTGCACCAAAATATTCTTTCTGTCATGATTTGTTGACATTAAGATCTAAAGAGAAGCGCCTTCTCCTGGTCAGAGCCTGTAATTCAGTGAAAGGGTGGAGCCAGAGTAAAAAAATATGGATGCCCAACAGAAGCCCGGTGGCTGGAGGTTGGCTTACATTCAGCTGGCGTTTGACTGGGAAGGACCATCTTGAATGGCTTCCACTGTAATACTACTAATGACGTAAAACAAAAGAAACAAACACTTAAACCTTAATGTGAGATGGATTTTATAGAAACTAAACTAGAGAGAATATCAGCTCATTTAACGCGGCTACAATCCAGCAGAGTTGTATCACATCAGGAACATGTGATTAGAAGTTGGTACCTTCTGAAGTTTCAGCCACAGACATTTAGTGCTCCTGACTGGGGAGGTGAGATCCAAAGAGCTTGTAGGGAATTTAAAGGAGTTAATTTAAGCCATCCCATTATATAGAAACAAGAGAAGAACCATCAAAGCAACAGATACTCTTCCCAGCTCTGATTTTCTCGCTGAAACCCCGGTGTAAGACGCTAAAATGAGTCCTGATATTAGACCTGGACGCTCATGTGGATCCAAGAAATCATTTCCTGAATTCTGAGAGAAAAGACAAAAAACAGGAATGCTGGAAGGATGTTCAGTTAAGAGATAAGTCTTCAAGTAAATGATTTGAGCAGAACAGCAAAAACCTGGAAAAGAAACTCTCATGTCACTGAAGGGAGAGTTCCAGTGAGCTTCGATAGGTTTGTGCCGTATAATTCTGTTTCCTCTCACTATATGATATTCTCCCATTCCTCTTCTAGATCATCCATATGCTCTCAGCATTGTCTGTAACTTGTTACTTTTCTCCCAGCTCTCTGCAGCTCATTCAGGTCCTTCTGTGTAGTTCTGGAATTTCCACAAATAATTCTTTAAATATCTTACAATGTGTTTTTTTTTTCTCATCGTTGAAGTTTGCCTATAATGAAAATTTCGGATCTTTCTAAATAGGAGAAATTGTGGATGACCAAATAGTTTTTTTGTAATTATGTGATTTCAGCTGTATAGTTCTTGAGGTGTTTCATCTTTTTTCTTTTCTTTCTTGCAGTTCACGCTTCAAGGGAACCCGGCTGGTTGGAGGGAACCCTGGATGGTCGAACTGGGTTGATCCCAGAAAACTACGTGGAGTTTCTATAGCCCGAGCTGTACCGAGAGACAATTGTAGTCCAAGCTGGACTTGACTGCAAAAAAAATTCCCTGTGATTACATGATCCACTGAACCAGGTTTTATTGGACTGAAGAAAAGAAACCGGACCAAACAGAACCGAATCAAAGGGATATAAGAGGACTGAAGCAGGGTGGTATTTTAATTGCACTGGGAAGAGAGAGAGAGAGAGAGGTGTTATTGGCTCCTGTGAGTGGAGTTCACAGTGAGGAAGCGGAAAACGTCACTGATAAAATTACTCTTATAATTGAGCTGATATTTGAGTTGAGAGTTGGCGATTTTCATTTTGGAACGTCTGATTTATTACTCTGATCTGGACTGCCAGTTCTTCATCATTCCCTGTTTTCATTAGGTAGATACAGCATTATTGACAGAGAAAAGATAAATAGGGAGTGGCCTTCAGCTTTAAACTGATGGTTTGCCTCTCCATTGTTTGATTGCTAATCCCCTTGGGAAATCTGAGCCGTGAAAGCGGACTGTAATGAAAGCTCTGCTGTAAAGTCTTTGCAATCGCTTGTCAGGGGTTAATTCCAGGTAAAGAGACTCTGCCCAGCCGCAGTTAAACGACCGTAGCTCCAGGGCATACCAACAAGATGGACGAGTGCGCTTCAAGTGCCCTGGGTGTCATGATCATTTATAGCTTTTTTTTTTTTCCTCATAGAGCCATCATTAAGAAAAAAAAAAAAATGTGAAAAATCTGAAGCTGGATCCACAGGCGGTTTACAGCCAGGCGTAGGAGGAGCAGCTGATTGCTGCAGGATAAAACAAACCCAGCTGCAAGGCCTTGCTGTGAGTGGAGCGAGTGTGAGTCATGTTTGCACTATGTTGGTCCATTCTTGGAATTCTAATCAACCAGGAAGCTTTTTTTTTTCTCTTTTCGTTTTACATCACAGATTACCTACATGTTTTTCTCCATTTTTATTTTTTCCATCATGCAGATTCTAAAGCTTTAATCTCATCAGCACACAGACAGAAAACTTATCACCATTCCTCAGTATTGATCTTCCAAGGAATCATAAAGACAATTCTAGAACTAATAATGATGGACGTTTGATTTTATAGCTAATAAAATGTAGATTATTTTCTGGAATGCAGTGACTGCTGTTTCCTGAGTTGAACCACTCTGAATGTTTTGGTAATATTATGCTTTTTTTTTTTCCTATTTTATATTTCATTATCCACTTGATTCTGTTTTAAATGGGAAAAACAAACGGGAGAATAACAAAAGAAAAGCTAATGTGAAACAAGACTACTTTGTTCATATATAAACTTATTTATAAGATTTTCTTAAAGGTAAAATCCTTCATCTTTTTGAGGTGTTTTAATGATCCTGTACAAAAAAAAAAAAAGGATTTTGATGGGGTATATTTTTTTCACACATATGAAATGGTGTTTTTTTGTGTATTTTTTAGCATACTAACTTAATTTCTGTATTGCTTTTTGCCAGAATCTTCTATTGTTTATGTCTGTCCACAGCCTTAAATATTTCTGCAGATGTTTTGGTGAAGGATTGTGAAGAAATTAAAGATTCATCTTGAAAAATTTCTGCTCAGATCTTTTCCTCTTTTTTTTAGGGACACTTAAATGTTCCAAAAAATTTTAAATCAATCCACCGGACTTTGTTTTCCAAGTCGGAAGACGTTTCGCTTCCCATCCAGGGAGCTTTTTCAATTCAAAATGTCAGAATTAGCGTCAAGTTCCAAGCTTTATAGAGTAAACCAAACTAAGCCTTGTTATGGCTTAGAAAACATGCAAATTGTACCTTTGCTGTTTACATCTCAAATTGAAGATGATTCCTATAATCTGCAAGTTTCTTAAGCAATTTGTCGTACTACCACATCATTTTGAGGATGTCTTTCCCAAAATAGATTGCAATATGCTGGTGAAGATTCTCAGTAAATTCCAAAAAAGTTGGAAGGGACACTCAAAGGTTAATTAAAATGCACCAGTTGGAGTAATGCCACATTATATTCACTCTCTCTAATTTGTACACTAAATGTCTACATTTATGTTTATTGGATGAACTATGTTAAAATTACCCTAACCTCTTTCATGGTGAATCAGCCTGGAAAGATGTAATTTAATGCATTCCTTTAAATCCGGTAAAACATACAAGGAATTAGAAATATTTCAACTTTTTTTTTTTTTTTTGCATTTCCCCTGCTCCTATCTGCTGGTTCTTTCTCAAAGCTGACATTGCAGCTGACTGTTTACAGTAAGGGGGTGTACAACACAGATTTCTCTGTTTTGCACCATGTCAAGGCTCTGTGTGTTTTCCTGGAGAGTTCAGTTGCCGGCAGCTGATTGGTTGGCTCGGCTCCATGCTTGTACACTCAGGAGAGTCCGCTGACCAGTGACTCCTACTTGAATGTTGGGATGAACAGCAACAGTTTGAGGGATTTTAAAGCATTATTATGACAGTCAGCCTTTGTGTTTGCAGGTTTCCTGTTGCTGGCTGCTGATTGGCAGGTTCAGCTCACTATTTGAACAGCTCACTGGGTGTCCTCCTCAGAGAGGACGCCCAAGACAAAGTGAAAGGTGTCAGCGGTCGCCATAAAAAAGTTATTTGATATTAGCTCAGGCTAAAAGATGCTTTCTACATCTTTTTACAGCCATCCACGTGGAGTTGAAAATACATTTCTTCACTTTACTGCATGTTACAAGCAAATGTTCACATTTTCATGTTTTGGGTTTACAATAGAGATCATCACCTTCCCTACATGTTTGTAACTTTTTTTGTTGTTCTTATGCAGAAAGCTGAAGTTCCAATTTGACGTGCATCATCCATGTGTGTTTCTGTTCAGTAATGCTGCCTGTTATTACAGCGCAGCAGTACGGAGCTCCTTTAGTAAACGCAGTGGTAAATTAAAGGAACTCCAGATTAAGGCTGAAGGTATGGAGGCTAGGAGCTACAAATTGGAATCATCCTTTGATTTCTTCAGAAATATTTGTTTTGTTTGGGTGGTGGCTTTCAATTGAATGCCCCTAAATGAATCAATCTGCCATACTGACCGAGCTACACATGCGCTGTCCTTGGAATTTTGTAGTTTCAGATTTGAACAGTCATTTCCTCCATTTCTACAGCTTGATGCCATAAATGAAGTTATATTTGCTTCGAGTCCCCAAGACCACTCAGCATCATTCTGCCACTGCTCTACATTACTGTGTAGTGGTGTTTGGAGGCCCAAAGCCTATAATTTGTTTCTGTGTGGCTTCTGCCATAAGCTGTTGGCCTTTTAACCCATGTCACTACAGATAAAGACTCTATTCACTTCATGCAAGTAACCAAAACAAATCCATCTCTTGGACACCAATATTTGAACAAATTAATGTTGGCATCATGTTGAGGTTTCAAATGTACTTCCTGATCTCTTTGGCGTTCATGTCACACAGGGATATAATGTGTTTTTAGGTTTTGTCCCAAATCCATCCCAAGGTTTGCGTCTGTTTAGCTCTTAAATCAGCTGGAGCTCTGGGCTTTCAGAACTGTTCAAAGCTTCATTCATCTTAATGAAACACGGGGCAAAAAAGTGTTTAGTTAAACACTGATTGTAAAAGTTCTGCTACTAAGAACGATGGGAGAGGTCGTAGTTTTCCTCAGTGGTATACTTTAATTATTAGAGACAACATGAGAAAAAAAAACAACTAAATCACTTTGTAGAATTGAAAATTACAGTGAAAATAAGTATTATAATAACAGAAGTTGAACTCAATATTTTGTAGCACTGACAGGAGTCAAACATTTCCTGTTAATCTTCACCAGGTTTGCACACTGTTTTGGCCTGTTCCTCCATGCAGATCTCGTTTTAGGGCTTTCAACTCCGTCCACAATGTCCTTTTTTTCGGGATTGAGGTCTTGAAGGAGCAGTTTTAGAGCCACTCCTTCATGTTTGGATCCATCGTCCTGCTGATAGGCCCATGTCCAGTACTCCATGATGGAAGGAGATTTTGTGTTCAAATGGTAAATGGCTTTTTCAAGTCAGGAGACTTCAAAGCTTTACACTACATTCAGTCATTCACCCATTCACACACACACTGATGGTGGCAAGCTACATTCTAGCCACAGACACAAGTGAGGTCCCTCAAACCACCATCAGTAAGGAATGCAGGTGAATTGTCTTGCCCAAAGACACAGTGACACTGAATTGCCTGAACCTTTCAGGGCAACCTCCTACACCCAACGCCACATTGTTGGTTCCGACGAGCTTCAAGGAGTTTGTCCCGTATAATTCTGTTTCCTCTTCTGGATCATCCATATGCTCTCAGCGTTGTGTATAACCTTTGTTACTTTGCACAGTCATTTCCTCCATTTCTGCAGCTTGATGCCATAAATGAAGTTATATTTGCTTTGAGTCTGCCTCTCCATTTATCTATGATCTGCCGTTATGGCAGATTTGCTTTTTTTTTTTTTTTATCTCATAGATTTTATTCATGATTTAGGTGCTCAGCTGCGTTTCCAACTGGATGAAGCTACAGAAAATATTGACCTTTTTCTGGAAATAGAAAGCACTTTGATAAAAATCCCCTCCAATTAAAAGGTAGTTGTTTCTTTCCACTGTTTTCATATGCTTTATTATGAAATATGGCTGCAAAATGACACTTTGCTTCATTAAATAAATTAAGTGGAAGAGTGAAGTTAAATTCAGTGAATTTGATTCCAACTAGAGCGCAGTGTAAACGGACAAACAGCTGCTCTTTTGATACATTTTAATAAAGAAATACTTTTAATTAAAAAGGTTTTAAAAATACATTTGCTTTACTGCTGTCCATCAACTTAGAAGAGAAGCTGGAGTGAGAAGAACGAAGCCCAGGCTGCTCAGAGTTGAAAAAACAGGAAACTTTATTGTGTAAGATGGTTGAACTAATGAAATATCAGTTCATCCTCATTTCTGCTTGAAACCAGAGATGACAGAAACATAGTTGGAGACGACGGCAAATCCAAAGTTGAAAAAAAAAAAAAAAAGACAAAATAAAAACACATAACCTAATTCAACATATAATCAATAAAGGGGAAATATTGACATTGAATACAGAAGAAGTGTAAATATAAACCATTTTTTATTTTTTTTAATATATCTATATATTCTTTACATTGGATTACATCTACATAACTGAAATAGGAACAAAAACAGACTTCAGTGAAAGCCATAGCTCTATACCAGTGAAACATGATCTGCCCTTAATGTTTAAAGATAATTGCATGTATTTTATACAAAATAGACGGTGACAAGCAATCTGAGGGTAGTGCAATTTTGTCAGGCTCTGGAAAATGTACTTTCACATGGAGATTAAGCTTTTCCTGTTTTTTTTCTTTTTGTTTTTTTTTTCGTTTTTTTCTTAAATGACCAGTGAATCCTTATAGTAATATATATGAAATCCAAAGCCAAGGTCATCTACATAATAGGCAAATTCAAAATAAAACTAGAAGTGCTAAGAAGTAAGCCCATATGTGCTACACAAGTTGAAACTGCTCAATTACTTCAGTTTAGTAATTTTTTTATTTTTTTACCCCCTCTGCTTTAGTCACTGTTTTTTAGCGCAAAATAAAATATTACAACTAAATCTCGCTCTAACGGCGACCTGCCTTTCCTTTTCTTTATTTCCTTTTGTCTTAAAAGGTAAACAGTGACCACTCTTGTAGACTTGTCCACAGACTCGTAGAATGAACATTTACTTCACAAGACAAACATGTTTAACACTTCCTAACGAATTAATCACGTCTGCCTTTTATCAAACACAAACTGACGAAAACAAAATTACTTTTCGACTTATTTCATGTACAAAAATGATTGAGTAAAATTAGTCATATCAAAGAGGATAAGATGATGAATTTAAAAATCACACAAAACCTTTTTTTCTTTTCTTTTTTAAACAGATCAATCTCCAAAAGCACTGGTAGTCGTCTATTTCCTGATTTAAAATTGTATTTCTATGGCTCTCCGTCTCCCTTATGCAAGGCCTTTAGTCGAACTGAAAGGAATAAGAAAGTGGGGAGGACTGACAAACGTGTAAAAATGTTTTTTTTTTTTTATAACAGACACTTGTTTGCATTGCACTGGATATGTCAGCATTGCTTATATACATCTATAGGCATTTAAGGAGTGGGGGGGACAGAAGCAGTGGCGAGGGTGTTTTACGCCTGTACGTTAAAGCTGGCTTCCAGAAGCGCCGCTGCCTGAATGCGAATGTAATACTGTACGCAAAGCCACCCGACACCACAGGATCCAGACCCAATCCTCGGCAGATTGATCAACACGCCGGGATAAAAGCAGACTCGCCATAAGCTAAAGCTCAAGAGCCTGCGCACCACAACAATCATCCAGAAGGATTGGCAAACTTCAAAGCTAAAGAAAATATGGCTCTTGATTGAGGATTGCTGCTTTTTTTTTTTTTTACTTTTTTTTTTCTGTGCAGTTAAGCAAACAACAGAAAATCCAGATATAAAGTCCTGGGCTCTTACACGGAAATTCACAAATATATCACATTTTTCCACGCTGAGCTTTCCCTGTCCTTTACTTTTATCTTAAAATATAAAATCTTAATATTCTCTTTGATTTTAGAACTGTTATTTTAACTTTGGGCAGAACCAACATAGGGAAAGAAAGGAGGTAGGAGACAAAAAAAAAGGAGAGGGAAGGAATTCAAGGCACATATAGCGGAAGGAGGTAGGAGACTACAGAAGGAAACCAAGGAAGGAAAGACAAACATAGGAGGACACAAGAAACGACAAACTTTAGAACCGTTGGAAAGAGATAGGATTCGGAAAATACTAAATATTTTACTTATTCTATTCTTTTTTTGACTCTGTAGGAACCCTGAAAGTAGAAAAGCGGACTCTAGAGCAGGGAGGTGAACGGTGTTGCACTTTGTACTCAGCAGAAGCCGATGAAAACCTGAACACTAGATTTGGCCACTATGTAAGCTGGTATGAAGGCTTTATACACATTAAAGACTGTAGCAACATCACAATCTAAAAAAAAAAAAACAACCCAAAAACATTTCGTTAACAATCGATCATTGTAAGCTGGTGTTATGTGAGACACTGAAGACTGAGCACCCTGAAGCTAAGTTATAAACCACAGCTGTACACCACCCTTCACATATGCAGGATATTAGAGGAAAAAAGAACTGATAAAAAAACCCTTTTGTGATATTTGGCACTAGTGGGACTATAATAAAAGATGTAAGGAGACATTACCTGAAGAATAAGCAAATTATGTGGATTTAAATGCAGCTTCTTGCATTAAAAATGGACGGGCTGCATAATAATCCCTGTTTCTTTGTGTATGCAGAGTTCTTTGAGTATGAAACAAATTAAATATATATCTATATATATATTAGAGATCCATCGTCACATAATTTTAAGAAACATCCTGTTTTCTTGTTCTTGGAAAATTAAAGATTTTACTATCAGTTAATAAAAAACAAAAGATTTTATGCACTTTGGGTTAAGTCAAATTCAGATGAAGCTTAAATATGTTATGAAGAGAAAAAATTGGGTTGATTTTGTAATTCCTAAAATGTTTTTTAAACTACTTCCTGTATTAAAAAGCACTTTCTGTTATTGTGTTTACCGACTAAATTATGAATTGATCCCAGATGTGTGGGACCCTGCAGAAAAACTGGACATCGAGATAAAACAGAGAAAGTTTTAAAGTTATCGTCACCATTTTTAAAATTCGGTGAAGCTGGCAGAGAAAGTCACGGACCCGTCACGCCAGATTGATTTAAAATATTACAAATAATATCGAGCGCGATTAGAAAATGGAGATTTGAGCGTTTTTCAATCTCAATTTGATCCATATTTGTAAAAATCACGATAAAGAAATTACAAACGTTTCCAAACCTTCACAATTTGACAGGAATTTCTAATCTTCCTCAGTTTAAATAAAAAAAAAATACTTTGATTTACTTCCAAATTCTAGATTATAGTGGCTGCTTCTCTGATGCAGTTAAAGCAGAACACTATAGGTTCACTTTTCTAAAGAAGAAAACAGTATATTCTACTGTAATATACTAGTTCATTAAACGTTTAAAGACCTGAACATGAAGATGATAATTCAAGCTGCCGGGATGACTTTGTTCTGCACACTTCTGCACATTTTTTAAGGGAGGGTGGATTCCTCTAAACAATAGAATTAAAAGAAAACTTTAATTTTAAAGAGAAAACAAAAGAAGCAAACTAAAACCAGGCGATAAATGCGAAGGAACAGAACAACAGACTGGTCTGTAACGGATGGCTGTGAGAATGAAAACTAAAAGGCACTGGTTTTCCCTCAGATACATCCTGTGTAAACATGTGTAGCTCGCGCTGAACGTGGCGTGGCGTCTGCTGAACTCTGAATGCGTGATCTGCGATGTGCATCTGCGTTAAAAAAAACAAAACAAAAAAAAAAAACATGAAGACGGATCCACAAGCTGCTCCGTTTTCCTTTTTCTTCCACTGATCGGGTAAATAGGTCCAGTTCGGGTCCGTTTTTGCTTTTCGTCCGTGAATCCAGAAGAAGTGAGGTTCTTTTGCATCAAAGCTTCAATCTGTCCCCTTCGTCTCTAGACTGTGAGCGACATTCACAGCGCGGAGAAGCAGAGCAAGGCCGGCAAGTTAAAATGATTTCAGCGATGTAGAGAGTAGGAGGACTTTAAAAAAAATAAATGTCTGAGTTCAAGAGGTGAGGGATTGAGGAAAACGGACAGATGCTTTAAAAACATTCAATTTGCTTCTGTGCAGACAGACTGGGGTGGCGACTATGAGGCTATGGGTAATTTCTGAGATTAGACTGAACAGGCAAGGGATGAAGGGATGAGGCTGACTTTCCAAAAATGAAAACAAACACCAAAGAACGGACAAGAATATTGGGGGGGCGGAATAAAGAATTTGAGCAGAAGGGCCTGAAGCAGGTTGGGGATTTAAGGCATTGATTCACATTTCAAGGCCGTCATTTCTGATGAAACAGCAGAGGTTTGACACTCCCGTCTTTGAATTTTGGTATCTGGTTGGTGATGATCTCCGTCAGCATCTCGGGGAATTCCACACTGAGGGTCTTATTCAAGAAGGTGTAGAAGCAAATCTGCAGGAGACCCTCCACCATCTGGAACGAGACAGTTTAAAAAGATGAGAGGCGGATTTCGGAAAGATGGATCATTTTCAAAGCATCTGCAGCTCATCACGAGTAATGAACATGACTTCAGAGGAGCTATAAAGAGATTTAAATGGAACATAAAAGCACCCATTTAAAAAAAAGGAGGAAATCTGTCAATATGAAAAAAAAATTTATTGTTCCAACCTATAAAATACAACTTAATTGAATAATATTACAAGCTGAGAAAATGTTTCTCCACCAATTTTCTACCACAAAGAATTTCCTATTAATTACCCTAATCCTAAAACTATTAGAGAGCACTTCCTAATTTAAATAAAAAGGATTAAAGTGACATTTATTACCGGCTAGTAAATGCTTCTCATTAGGAATTTTTAGTCTGCTAAAAGCGAACCTGATGCTATGGAAAAATATCAGTCCCCTCACAAATGTTTTATGTTTTTATTTATTGTTAAACTGTTTAGGTTAAACTGTTTGGGCTCCTCTTTCCTCCATTAAAGCCAGTTCATCCCAGCACTGCTAGTCCAAAGCACGTAAGATTATCAATTTTATTATCATCGCAAAAACAAAACAGATTTTAAGAGAGGATTTTTTTTTATTTTATTGAAATTTTCTATATTTTGGGACAATATAGTCTGGTAAAGAGTACATTAATATCAATGTTTAAGACAGAATAATTTTAAATTTAAATATGATTTCCCTACGACTTATACTTAAGGTATACTGTGCAACCGGTGTTGATTTTCCAGCGAGGCTCCCCCCAGAGGGCGAAAGTAAAAGTGCACTGTCGTAAATATGCTCAGCTGTTCTCCCGGTTTCTCCGTCAAGCCAGGTGCGGTTGTTTTGAGCTTAGCAGACAGGCGAACGCAACAAATCACCATGTCTACTGCGGTAAGTGACTATTTTGTTGCAATTTTCGAGTTTGAAAATTTAGCATGTTTTCATACATTATTTGTTATGCATGTGTCTAAATAACAAAGATTGTAGTTAGCCAAGTTATCGCCATAAAGCAAGACCGACTCTCACGATGCACGAGACGTCTGAGCCTGTGGGTGCGGGTCGGTGCTCCTGCAAATGCAAGTACAGTATTTCCCCTACAGACCACCAGGGCGGCCGAGAAAACCTTTGTTCGACCTGAAATGACTCATTTAATCATCCAAAACGTTATGGAACACATTAATTAACTGAAAAATGTTGCATAGTATGCCTTTAACATCTTAAGCCTATACTGTAAATGATTCTTTTCAAATATTTAGCGTTTATGTTTCCTTAATTAGTTATTTATTCATATCTCAAATTGGATGACATGAGTTTACTAATATTGTCACTGTTTTAAATGGAATCTCACTTTGAAGCTAAACAGGAAATATTTTATGTCCTTTTTTTATTATATTCAAACAAATATGTGGGAAATAGGCTGGCAGGAAATGCATCTCTAGGAGACAACTTTCACATCCTGTTTCTAGTTGATCTCAGTAGGAAAAATCCTGTAAAGTTGTGCCGATGTTACCGTTTGTGCATCACTAACCTCCTGCATGGAGTCCAGTAGCTTAGTTAGCTGGTAGAATCGCTGCCAGTTCTGACTTGTGTTCTCCTCTCGTTTCACGATGGCTTTTCCCAGCTCCTTGATGTAAGTCATCCTGATCTGATCAAAAACCGCCTGGCACTTCAGGCCTTCTTTGGGTACTGCACAAACGGGACAAGAAAAACACAGCGATGAATGAGGGTGTAGTTTAGGAGGAAAACTAAAACAACCTGAAGATAAAACAAAACTTCGTAAAACCTTTTTGTTTTGTTAAAAGTACTCCCAGTCTGAAGAGGCAGAATACAAAACCCAGCAGTTTGTCCGGTATATTCAATTATTTTCAGTCTTTTAAAGAAAGAAATCACATTTCTATGTTTTATATTATTTTATAATGACATTGGGGGGGAAAAGTAACAAATTATTCCTTTGATAAAAAATTTAGATATTTATAATATTATAAAGGATTAAGGGATAAAAGTATATTTTATCCAGATGTTAATAGAAATATGATGCCAGAAACTATTTAAGCCCTTTTCAATAGTGATTAAAATGAAATGTTAAAAATATCTAATATTAGTCCTTACTGGCATTAGAGTAATCTAACCCTTTTCATAACAGTTTGGGTTCTTATCTGGTTCAGTTAGTCTGCATGCCAAAAAACAAAAACATCTCTCTTTGCAGGTGATGAAGACAGAAGGCGTTTTATCATTCTTTCTTTCATCTTTTCCTGTTGTTCCTTCTCTAATTACATTGCAGTGTCCATATAATCTGTAATATTCCCTGCATGAATTATAATAAAGCTATTTCTATGCATAAATCAAGCGGAACTCTATGGCGATAGCCGTACTGCTCCACTTGTGAAAGCAAAATCTGTTGGGCTCTCTTTGTGGCATCAAGACAATTATTTTTATTGCCACATTGCTAGACACAGTAAAAAAAAAAAAAAGAAGAGTCCTCGTACCATAGAGACTGGAGCGCCTTCACTGTAATCTTTCCACAGATTCAATAAAAACTTTAAAACTTCTTCTGTAAGAATATTCTGGGGTAGAAATGGCAGTGGGATTTTCCCTTGGTTGTATGAAGAATTAAATCCTGTTACCCCTCCCCCACATATTTATAGGTACATTTGTCTGAAATGGGCTATTAGTGCAGTGATGGTGAGACTGTCACTACCTGATCCGTACCGGACCCACGATTCACACCATCAGCTTATTTGCACATGTGCAAGCAGATATTCATCCAGGTCGCCATAAACAACGTAATCTTGGTATTAAAACTACTTATATTTATCCTTAAATCACTAAAGAATGCTAATTTAAATCTTTAAAACATCTTTTTTATGACTTTCTGAGACAATTCGATGCTTTTTACATTTTCTGTGTTACATAGCTTGTCTGACATCATCGGACGTGCTCTGAACAGTCTGGCAAATTATGATTAAACCTTGTTTATCTGCATTTTAGTTTTTTCTTTCCTTAGATTACAAACTACATACCATAATATTAACACAAAAGGAAAAGATAAAACTCAAAAACACTAAATATATGTTTTAATCCAAAGCCAAAAACTTTAGCTCCCAGGAGTAGCGTATGATCCCATTTCCGCTGCAGACATGTGACAAAACAGAAATGGTTTTAAGGCATTTATTTTCTCAGGAAATACATTAGTAACCTTTAACCCATTATAGTTTAATGAGCTTACTATATTTAAAGAAGGTTAAAACATAATTTAGGTATCGGGTAGTGACAGTGATAACCTTCTGTTTGAAGTCTTGTTGCTAGGGCAGCTAGCCTGGCTACTAGCTGTCAAGCTAAAATAAAACTATTTAACATTACTTTGCAAGGGCCTGAATAAATACAAAAAACATGAATAAATAAGAAAATATCTCTGGAAATTTAACTTTCAGATATATTATCTTAGTTTTTTCCACTGTCTCTCCCTACTACTGCCATTTAATACAGCAGGTTAACATTTCTAAAATCCCTGTTCTAAAGGAACAAGTACTTCCGAAACCTGTCTGTAAAATTGGAGGCATGTTTGTGCAGAAAATTTTAAAAGCATTTTATTTCAACTATTAATACAAGTTAAAAAGTCTATTTTCACTTGAGAATTGTAGTATAAGGTTTACTTTTACAAACTTAAAGTAAACGGTGCTCAGACCTCTAAAGCGGCACTCTGGGACTCATTCAGTAATGGATCCGACCCTCTAAAGTTACAAAGGCAAGTTTAGTGAGATGACGCTAAGCACCGGCAGCTTGCTTAAATAACAAAACCTCAAAAGGAATATGCAGACAGGTTTGAAACGACTTTTAAAAACAGCAAGGGAGTCACCATGTTGGAAGCAGGTTAGCAGCTACCCAGAATAAGAGGAGACAGAGATATGGAGAGATATTTGTGCCATCGGTTTGAGCGCGCAGGAACCAATCCGAGCGCGCAGTGAGACAACACGCGCGCGCGCAAAACCGGTCTGGCGCGCGCTCAACCCTGAAAAACCCTCTCAACACACTGTTCTCGCGCTCAGTTTCATCTCTGCGCGTGCTCGAATCCGTCTCTGCTCGCGCTCGCTCGACCTGCTCTCTCTCCGCGCTCAACACCAGCTGTGCGCTCAGCTGTTTCTCCGCTCGCTCGACTCTCTGCGCTCGCAACTTCAGCAATGTATGTAAATGAACCATACCATCAGCCAATCACACTCAGCTTCTTTTCATCCAATGAAAGCATTCCTTCCTTCTTCTTCTTTTCTATCATGGCGGATCGCAAGCAACTTTAAGAGGTGCATACCGCCACCTACTGTTCATGAGTGTGTAGCAACATTGTTTTACAGCTATTAAATTCTATTTTTTAATTTTGCATTCTGAAGATAACTAAATAATGCTTTCCTTAATCTATAAACATCCTTTATATTTCCTTTATTTCCCAATAATCCTTTAAGACTCCATTCTTGGCCTGTCATTTCAACTACTCTTCTCAATTTTTCCCTTTCAGGTTCATATGTTTTACAGTTCATTAATATGTAAGCATTCGTTCCAAATACTACATCCGGTTAGATGAAAAAAAATACATAAATAAATAAAAACACAATCAGGAAAATCAAACAACTCTTACAGTTATTTTGTCAACATTCCTAAGATAGTACTATAAAATATCTTGAATTATCTCAAATAAACTTCAGTAAAACAGTTATTAGATCATTGCCTCATCCATCTCTTTTACCTGCTATTGACATGGATTTAAATTTGATGTTTTAAAAGAAAAATAAGGAGGATATTTCAGGTTCCAGTATGGTTCAACAATATATAGATAAAAAATATTATGGATATGTTAAATTTTTATGGATGCTTCAAAATATTCCAATATTAGGAATGGTGTTTTGTTTTAGTTTCATAATTTATTTTTAAATCGGGTAAAAGAATCAGTGATGGAATTCAGCCTACAAAGGAGAAATGTTTTGGATCATATTGGCCTTACAATGGATTGAAGAAATCGTTCCATTAAGAAGTTTAGTTTGCTCTGATTTTAGATCAGCGACTGTTATATTAATTTAAACGCAATTATTCAGACAGCAGACCTGATCTGAAATTTAACAATTATTATTTAGAAGACCTTTTACAGATGGACTCTAAATAAGAGGGTTATTCTTTATTATATATATTAAAAAGAATAATTTGATAAACAGGATTTTTCAGTTGGTGGCGGTAATTGTTGTTTGCCAACCTCCATAAAAAACAACAAAAAGAAGAAACACCCGCCACAAAAGCTAAGAGTAAGGCCAATATGATCCAAAACATTATCTATATACTGTTGAACCATACTTGAACCTGAAATATCCTCCTTATTTTTCTTTTAAAACAGCAAATTTAAATCCATGTCAATAGCAGGTAAAAGAGATGGATGAGGCAATGATCTAATAACTGTTTTACTGAAGTTTATTTGAGATAATTCAAGATATTTTATAGTACTATCTTAGGAATGTTGACAAAATAACTGTAAGAGTAGTTTGATTTTCCTGATTGTGTTTTTATTTATTTATTTATTTTTTTTTCATCTAACCGGATGTAGTATTTGGAACGAATGCTTACATATTAATGAACTGTAAAACATATGAACCTGAAAGGGAAAAATTGAGAAGAGTAGTTGAAATGACAGGCCAAGAATGGAGTCTTAAAGGATTATTGGGAAATAAAGGAAATATAAAGGATGTTTATAGATTAAGGAAAGCATTATTTAGTTATCTTCAGAATGCAAAATTAAAAAATAGAATTGAATAGATGTAAAACAATGTTGCTACACACTCATGAACAGTAGGTGGCGGTATGCACCTTGAAGTTGCTTGCGAACCGCCATGATAGAAAAGAAGAAGAAGGAAGGAATGCTTTCATTGGATGAAAAGAAGCTGAGTGTGATTGGCTGATGGTATGGTTCATTTACATACATTGCTGAAGTTGCGAGCGCAGAGAGTCGAGCGAGCGGAGAAACAGCCGAGCGCACAGCTGGTGTTGAGCGCGGAGAGAGAGCAGGAGAGCAACCGCGAGCAGAGACGGATTCGAGCACGCGCAGAGATGAAACTGAGCGCGAGAACAGTGTGTTGAGAGGGTTTTTCAGAGTTGAGCGCGCGCCAGACCGGTTTTGCGCGCGCGCGTGTTGTCTCACTGCGCGCTCGGATTGGTTCCTGCGCGCTCAAACCGATGGCACAAATATCTCTCCATACAGAGAAGGGGATGAAAGACCTGAGGGAGCGGGAGAGCTTGTGAATGTAGAGGAGCTGGGACAGGTACAGTGTGATAGGGCAATAATAGTCCTGTAAAATGATGAGAGGTAGTTTAAATTGGACAGTATTCAGGTAGTCCAATGCAGCTGTTTCAAAATAGACTAATGAGGGAAAAAGAGGGGATTAGAGACTGACCCTAGCAGCAGAGTTCTGAACCAAAGGAGGACGGATGGAGTCAGTTCATGGAGCGAAGGTGGAAAAATGTGGCAAAACTTTTTAGTTTAAACTCTAACAAAGGATATTTACTTTCTTATTATTGAAGCTTTTATTTTGACTGGCTGGTTTCCAGTCAGAGACGATCCTGGTGAAATATGCAAACCGACTGGTGCATTCTTAATTACAGGTGCTGGTCATAAAATTAGAATATCATGAAAAAGTAGATTGATTTCAGTAATT